GGGCTGGGGTTCTACTGTACACTGTACACTGTACACTGTACAGTACAGTACTGTACATTGATTGCCAAGGGATACCGTCCGTGGTTCGTCTTCGTCACAGGCTTGGGTTGGGTTCTACAGTACAGTACTGTACACTGTACACTGTACAGTACAGTACTGTACTGTACATTGATTGCCAAGGGATACCGTCCGTGGTTCGTTTGCGTCACAGGCTTGGGTTGGGTTCTACAGTACTGTACACTGTACACTGTACACTGTACAGTACAGTACATTGATTGCCAAGGGATACCGTCCGTGGTTCGTTTGCGTCACAGGCTTGGGTTGGGTTCTACTGTACTGTACTGTACACTGTACACTGTACACTATTGTACAGTACAGTACAGTAGAAAGTACCGCACAGTACAGTACAGTACACTGTACAGCTACAGTACAGTACAGTACAGTACTGTACAGTACATTGATTGCCAAGGGATACCGTCCGTGGTTCGTCTTCGTCACAGGCTTGGGTTGGGTTCTACAGTACTGTACACTGTACACTGTACACTGTACAGTACAGTACTGTACATTGATTGCCAAGGGATACCGTCCGTGGTTCGTTTGCGTCACAGGCTAGGGTTGGGTTCTACTGTACTGTACTGTACACTGTACACTGTACACTATTGTACAGTACAGTAGAAAGTACCGCACAGTACAGTACAGTACACTGTACCGCTACAGTACAGTACAGTACAGTACATGTACATGCACTGTACTGTACAGTACTGTACTGTATACCGTCAGATACTGTACAGTACTATACTGTACTGTACTGTACACACGTACTGTACTGTACAGTCAGTGCACAGTACTGTACTGTACTGTAATGGCCAAATCCGTCTCAAGGTGCTATGCTGTAAATAATAATTAATTAATAATAAATAATATCAAGACCTCTCAATTCCATATCACTATGTAAAACCATTGCCTACCGATACCAATAATATTCAATGGGACTATTACTTAATTGAATAATGCAATCTTGTTCATTTTATGAACAAGATTCTGAAAACAAATCAAGCACACTGAGCGTGTAGAAATGCTTTCCAGAAAATCGGCGCATACTTTGAGTGCTCATGATGGCAGAAAAATCCTTTCAAATTAGATGCGTACATACTGTTGCAAAATGGACCATTTTGGACATATTTTGCAGTGGATGCTACATAAAATACAAATACAACTGCCGATTGGAAACGACTCCTTTAAATGCTACCGATTCATATCAAAATCAAATAAAAATCCATAAACTTTGGGCATTTTCATTTCATTTTGAAAAATCAGAGTGGAATTTCTACACTGTACAGTAGACCATACGTTGATCAAACTCGACTTCTGCTACAACGTTTGGGGGAACTAGCGCGCCCTAGTGTACAATCTCTTCCTTCTACCTACAGTAATGTAGAGTATTGTATAGCTTCTACCACGACACGATTTCATAAAAGAAACATGAAAGGACATACATAGAAGAAAACCTGTATGTCGATGGCTTACAGTATACCCCGTTATAGCCATCGAGATCGATGGCTGATTTGCTAGATCAGCGTGACTGATGCTACAAAATAAGTAAATCTCTTCAAGCATGTCTTCTACCAGGGCACGCTTTAATAAAAGAAAGACGGAAGGACATGCATAGAAGAAAACCTATATCTCTATGGCTTACAGTATACCCCGTTATAGCCATCGAGATCGATGGCTTATTTGCTGGATCTGAGCGAATGATGCTAAAAAAATAAGTGAATCTCTTTAATACAGCCATATACAGTCAATAAGTGATCTCTATGGGTTACAGTATACCCCGTTATAGCCGTCGAGATCGATGGCTTATTTGCTGGATCACAGCGATTGATGGTCAAAAAAATAAGTAATCTCTATGGGTTACAGTATACCCCGTGATAGCCATCGAGATCAATGGCTTATTTGCTAGATCAGAGCGATTGATGGTAAAAAAAAATAAGTAATCTCTATGGGTTACAGTATATCCCGTTATAGCCATCGAGATCAATGGCTTATTTGCTGGATCAGAGCGATTGATAGTAAAAAAAAATAAGTGAATCTCTTTAATACAGCCATATACAGTCAATAAGTGATCTCTATGGGTTACAGAATACCCCGTTATAGCCGTCGAGATCGATGGCTTATTTGCTGGATCACAGCGATTGATGGTCAAAAAAATAAGTAATCTCTATGGGTTACAGTATACCCCGTGATAGCCATCGAGATCAATGGCTTATTTGCTAGATCAGAGCAATTGATGGTCAAAAAAATAAGTGATCTCTATGGGTTACAGTATACCCCGCTATAGCTATCGAGATCAATGGCTTACTTGCTGGATCAGAGCGATTGATGGTAAAAAAAATTAGTGAATCTCTTTAGTACAGCCATTTACAGTATAACATGCATGGCACGTCCGTCTTTTATGTTATCGTCAGACGAGTCTGTAGAAATACCATACTGTACCACCGACTTTCACTAGTACTTGGAGTAGTTGCTGTCAGCTCAACCAGGAACTTTTCTACATGGAAATTCTCTCTTCGAAAGTTCCTAGCTCAACGCGCAGCTGCAATTATCCAAACAACGATAGCTGGACAGTGTTCCAGGCTGTTCCAAACTTCCAGCCGTCCGCAGTTTCCAACTTAACACCATCGCGCAAAACATCTTGAATATTGTTACTGTACTCATTGCGATTTGACTGCACCGGTAAAGTGCTGATTAGCTAGAAGATTGGACAAAGTGGGCACATTCCATGAAATTCTATCCATTGCCAATTTCCCACTCTATACAAGTGCCTCAAGTCCCAGCTGGTGCGTAACTTATTGCTTCCGCTAGCTTAGCCGTTACGACGGCTTGGAATTTTTGACTCTGTCCAAATACTGTACAGCGATCGTCAAGGCGTTCACCAGGTAACAACATTACAGCGGATCTACTCAGCCCTTACATCTCAATAAATTGTAATACGAGTTACTTTTACATGCACGTATAGGCAAATTAAATATGAATGCCAACAGCAAAAAAAGAGTGGAAATGGTCATTCAGGATAATAAGAGTAACAAACTTATTAGTCATGATGATCCCATCGCTCAACGCCAAGCCGAAAGAAAAAAAGAATTGAAAAAAGTACAACTGTACATAGAGGGCATGTCTTGTGCCTCTTGTGTAGCCAAGATTGAAAATCAAGTCAATAAATTAGATGGTAAGTGACCGCCTTAAATTGTTGTTAAATTAACTTTTGATGCAATTGAAGTCGATCTTAAGGGAATCAATAGTCAATATTACAACGGCTGATACGCAAAATAAAACATTATGGTGTTGTTTTAACTTGTGACGCTGATGTTGATTTAGCACTGTAATATGTAACAATCATCTGAACCGAAAACAACATAACATTATCTCATGATTCTCTCATCATCAAGGTGTTCATTCAACTGCTGTTACACTATTGTCCAAGAAAGGTGTTGTAGAATTTGATGAAACCAAAATAACCAACGTTGAGATTGCAAAACAAGTCGAAAAGCTTGGTTTTGATGTAGAAGTTAAAGAAATTTTCGATAATTATCAATATGCTGAATTACAGGTATTCTATATGTAATCTCGTCGCCAGAATAAAATTTCGCAAACAACATGTTTCTATGGATTGATGGAGCTTTGAAAAATGTACAACTTCAATATGTCATTTTTTGGTCATATGCTGTAGATTACTGGTAAGAAATCACAAACGATCGATGTTGAAAAGACTTTGACAGAACTGCCCGGCGTAATCACTGCCAAGCTATCACCGAATAGTAACCGTTGTACTGTTCAGTATGAGCCTAATCAAACCGGACTGAGATTTATTGTTGAGCAATTGAAGGTCTGTATCATATACTACGCCAAATACATTATATGCGTATACTGATGTATTTTATTAACGTCTCGAACAATCCATGTGCCTTATTGAAATATAGATCAATGGTATAGAGCCAACTTTAGTACAGACGTCATATCGTCAAAAATCGGTCGATTATACTGTAGCTGTCAAGAAGTGAGTTAATAATATTCCTAGTAATGTCAAATAGGATTATAACTTGAATTTATGCCATTTAACCACGGAAATTTGTTTTAAATCAATCATTCAATCAATTATAGATGGAGGAATTCATTTCTAGTAGCATTTAGTTTTGGATTACCGGTTATGATAATAATGATAACTTTTATGATTCTGGGAAAGAAACACGAAATCATGATTGTGCCTGGACTTTCATTAGAAAATTTGTTATTATTTTTATTGTGTACTCCAGTGCAGGTCAGTAAGTACGCGGTATTAACTCTACCTTAAGAAGTATATTGAATCTGTTCGATTTTATTGCGTAAAACATTGTATTATATAGATATGTAAGTAATGATATGAAATGTATCTTACTTATAAGTATCAGGAAATTGAAATTAGTTCTTCTTTGTGTTTCCGTCTTAAATTAAAATGGATGCGATTTTTCGTTAATCTTTAGTTTGTTAGTGGTAAACAGTTCTATATCTTATCATGGAAAGCCATGAAGAATAAAACGACGAATATGAGTGTTTTGATTGCAATGGCAACTAGTATCGCTTATGTATATTCTGTAAGTAGAACTGCAATAATTTTCTATCTTTTTATCACCAATACTATTATTGTGTATTTCTTATTACAGTCAATTAAAATAAAATATAAAGCGCAATTGAATTTGCATTAAAAATTATTTCTTTAATCTTCATCATTCAATGTATATTACGATGACTGTAAATTAAAGATAAGCATACTCCTTGTCGCTATGGCGAACAATGCAACAACAAGTCCCAGAACATTTTTTGAGACTCCTCCTATGCTAATTACATTTATTGCCTTAGGAAAGTGGCTTGAGAACTTGGCTATGGTACGATATCTAAATAAAATATTATGCTTGATTTTGCAATACTATGAGTAGCGTTGTAAGCAATCAATTCTGAAAAAACTGTTACTAGAGGAAAACCGGAGATGCAATACATGAACTACTATCTATGCAACCGGCTGATGCAACGTTAATCGAAGAAGACAATAATAATAATGTTATATCGTAAGTCATAATTACAGGCCTTACTGACAGGAAATGTTAAACTGTTACACTTGAGACATCATGCAGTTTGAAAGAATCCCGGTGTGAATCCTTAAAAATTATGCTTATAGTTATCATATGGTTGATTCTCGCATTCGAAATTTTTATTTCGCTTATAGGGAAAATGTCATTAGTGTCGAATTAGTACAAGTTAACGATCTGTTAAAAGTATTACCAGGAGCTACAATACCTGTTGATGGCAAAGTAACTCGAGGATCATCAAGCGTAGACGAGTCGCTAATAACTGGAGAATCTCTACCAGTATATAAAACTCCTGGTGACGAATTAACTGGCGGCACTATTAATCAAACAGGGCATTTAGTTATGAAAGCTTCGCGTGTAGGATCAGGCACCACATTGTCTCGTATCATTCAAATGATAGAGGATGCAGAAAGCTCAAAGGTATGTGATGACTACGCTAGTTTTATACCATATGCATTCTAAAGATAAAAATAAATATTGTTTTATATTTCAATTTAGGCCCCAATGCAAATGCTCGCCGATCAAATTGCTAGTTATTTTGTTCCAGGTATTCTGGTACTTTCTTCGTTGACACTTCTCGTGTGGATCATAATTGGCTACAGTAATATAGATTTATTTATTGGTGATACATTCAGGGGCCATGTAAGTTTAAATTTTGTCTTATTTAGATTTATCACCCACATACGTAAGTGTTATGCAATTAAACCAGTTTATATTTAACACTGCAGTTGTACACTTTCCTTGCTTAGATCCAAATTTAATCAATTTTATAGTAAAATTTTTCCCTTTATTAACAGAATGTAAACGGCAGCCGCAGCGAAGCTGTATTCCAATTTTCATTCTTATGCAGTATATCAGTTTTAGCGATTGCTTGTCCTTGTGCACTTGGATTAGCGACTCCTACCGCAATCAAAGTGGGTACAGGATTGGGGGCAAAATTTGGTATCTTAATCAAAGGTGGAAAGCCATTAGAAATTGCTCATCGAGTATGTAGTAGAAATCCTTATAGACAATATTTTTACTAATACATTTAGGTATCGATATGATTCAATTTACTTATTATCCTTTGTAGATTCGAACTGTAGTATTTGATAAAACTGGAACATTAACTCATGGCAAGCCAAAGGTCGTAATGGTTTCTGCAAGCGAGCAAGTAAGACGTGGTATTTCTTCAGAAAAGTTATTAATTGCTCTTGCTGGAAGTGCAGAATCCAATAGTGAACATCCAATTGGCCAAGCCATATATGCATACGCAAAAGAGGTTAGAACCATCGACGTTTGGAAAAAATTATTTGTAATAAAGTTCATTACACACTTAGATCTTGTGCTCATGCTCACCGTTGCTTTTTGAAGATATTCAATCGCGAGATCTTAGGACAGTGCAGCGATTTTATTGTTGCACCTGGATTTGGACTAAAATGCCGTGTATCAAACATAGAACAATTTATTGGTAAGTTTCCTTTTAGCATTACTATTCTGGCTGCAAGTTACCTGCAATTTATAGTAAAAGTAAATTTGAACAAGTAATTTGGTCATAATTATACGTATAATCTATTGCTTTCTAAGTTAAACCGGTTGTAATCTTAAAATAACATAGATCCTGGATCAAAATCAAAAGCGGATGACAATTATGAAATTTTAATTGGCAATAGAAGATGGATGGCAGAAAATAACATCAATATAAATAGTGCTATTGATAATCAATTAATATCTCAGGAAATTCTCGGGAGAACGGCTGTTATAGTTGCGATGAATAGTCAGTAATTATTCATATATTTAAAATTTAGAATATAAAATTAGTGAATAATTTACTAAGTGAAATTGTGTTCTAAATTGCATCTAGGCATGGTAATAGGTATCATTGCTATTGCTGATACCGTTAAAGATGACGCAAAAATTGCTGTTAATAAGCTACGCGAGATGGGACTAAAAGTTGTCATGTTGACCGGTGACAATATCAGAACTGCTAAGGCAATTGCAGAAGAAGTACGTTTTAGATATCTTGCCTTACATTTTGCAATATGATATATTGTTTTGTAGCAATCACGGATTTAAAGAAACGATAGTATTGATAGCATAACTATTACAATTGTTACATTTTAAGACCATTGTATTTGACTTTACTTGCAAGCAGGTAAATATTGTTGATGTCTATGCTGAGGTATTACCTGAACAAAAAATAGAACACGTAAAGGAGATTCAGGAAGATAGTAATGAAGCAGTAGCGATGGTTGGAGATGGAATTAATGATTCACCCGCCCTAACTCAAGCTGATGTTGGAATTGCTATTGGATCTGGAACTGAGGTAGCAATTGAGGCAGCTGACATCATACTAGTAAAGGTATCGATTAATTCAATATATTTCATGATTTCTCTAACAAACCTTTTCCTGAAATAATACAATGAAATTCAAGACATAACATCTCCTAATTTTATTATTGAAATTAGGATAATTTGCTAGATGTCGTTGCTGCAATTCAGTTATCACGAGCAACTATTTCTCGAATTCGATATAATTTCTTCTATGCAATTATTTATAACATGATTGGAATTCCCATTGCGGCGGGTTTTCTTCAACCTTTAGGCGTAATTCTACAACCGTGGATGGCAAGCGCTGCTATGGCTGCATCGTCGGTATCGGTGGTGGCTTCGTCGTTATGGTTGAAAAGGTAATTTATAACAGAAGAAACGGTAGCGGAATTACTATAACAAGGATACTACAACATGTATTTTTACAAGTAGTAGATATGACCAATTAAAGCTGTATTTGCCTTACAGATTTTCACGTCAAATTAAAGCAACTCGAGGTCTTGCCGATCGCTCAAGTGATCGCTATTCTGCTCGTGAAACGAAACAATCTGGTAATGTAAAACTGAACAGTCTTTCGATTCATGATGGAAAAGAAATTGTCGAAGTTGTGATAACCACAGTTTAAAATCATTAATGAATTTAGAGTCAATTGCGCATTTTTGTGCGCATTTTAATGCACGCGAGCGTAATGTTAATAACTTAAAACTAATCATACTCGATAGTATTTGCTACAGCTTACAGGTGTTAATGTGAGATTTGTACTATGAATAAGCCGCTCATGATTTCTATCTGTAGTTTATTACAATATCAAACAAAAATAATCTATGCTATTAAATTCTTATTATAGATCATACTTCACTGTCGTTTACGGTAACTAAATATAGCATTAATATATAACTAAACTAAACTATCGATTAGATGGGCTCTAATTGAAAGAATCTACCTAAACTATATACTGGCATAACTTTACGAAATGAATTTAAAGAGGTTATATGTAATAGAGATGTTATTATTCGTGAAAATACCAGCTGGGTTAAATTAAATTTATCCTTTTGTACCATATTATTAATTTGCTGTTTTTACCATTGTTTATTTTCTTATTATCCTATCCAATAAAATGTACTCAACAAAAATCAATCCACTCAACTAAAGCGGTTAATAGCCACCATCTATATCGAATAACAAGATACTTAATCATTTTTCCTCCTTGTAAACTTACAGTACAGTATCTTTAAATGATTGCTAGGAATAACAGTCAATGACACATAATTTTATGATCAGATACGTGTATATTGTACATGAATACTAGTCAATGCTTGATCAGCATATTTGGTTGCATTCCTCAGAAGTATATCATACGGATATGTGAATATTTTTAACAACTGATCAGTCAATTGCACGATTATTAAGCGTGTACCCTTACCTTTACTGCTAATACCTCTCTCAGAGCTACTTCTATATCAATGCCATGGACTCTTAGGTCCATAATTCATATATATATATATAATTAAGCCTAGAATAAAACAGGCAACTAGGACATTTTCATAATAAAATCCCCACAACATCAACATTATACTGTATGTACGTAAGAATGCGAGCTTCAAAGATGTTTATACTTTCTAGATAGTTCTGCCAATGTTACTGTATTGAACTGCCGATAGTATATCAACGGCTTTTTACTGCAAGCTTATTAATACTGATCAGGGTATTGGATACTGCTAACTGAATATTTACATACGATTATACAGAACTCCATTGATTCCTGCATCGTGCCAAAGTATACTAATTTCTTTTCTTCTATATGGACATGTCCATCACTAACAAGGTTATCAGCAACCCTGATAATAGGCCGTTATATATGATACCCTTCAAATTACAAACTTTAAGGCTTCCAGACACCTTTAAGACTACACTCTGCTAAGAAAAGTAGAGCAGTGTGCAAAATAAATTATCTTTCTTTAGACAAGGCCATCGTCAACGAAAGAAGAAGATAATTCATTTTCTTCAACATATAAACATCAGCAACCGACTCAGTACAGTTATCAGGTTTTAATTAAAAATAAAAACTGCTATCTAGAAAATCATATAATGCATAATAGCTATTGGATACGAGCCAGAGCCAGCGCGAAACGCCTAGCCTTGCAAAAAGGGATAAATCTAATTACAAACACGGGATACTTTTAGTAGTCCACAGTGCACGTATTGAGTTAAAGAATGTCCTATTGCAATTGCATATCATCTCCTCGATAGCAACGGATGACATCGTGCTTTAACGTAGTGCCTATTGATTCGTTTGGCAACATATGGTGCAACTGCATATCTAGCCTCTCAAGTTACTAGTACAAGCTTTCCTGGCATCCTGGTTGTTCTTGGTATCTCAACTAGATTATGTAATCAACGACTGATCATAAGGAGAGTAAATCATTGATAATTTATTAGAAGTAAAATCCCTCCAGACTGGAACTTAGAACAACTTCCTTGGGTTCGAGAAAACTAGGCATTGTCGATGCTCGTTTACCCTTCATCGAACTAATCTAATCCTGATACTGTATAGTAATCAGGTCCTTGGTCGTATATTATTTCTAACTAAGATTGCATGCCATTCGAAAGTCAATAATCCTACTTGGTTAGTTTGAGTAGCTCAGGCTATTCGTCGCCATCCTACAGTGCATTCACACATCCAGTTTCTCAAGTTACTCGATCACGAAATCGACAATTAATCAATGGAGAGTTAAACCATTGATAATTTACAGGAAATGATGTCCCCTCAAAGCAACTCCTCCAAATAATGTATGCATACATCATAGTAATCAGTGACTACTCAGGCAGGTACTTGGTCGTATACTATTTCATACCAAGACTGCATGAAATTCTTAACTCAATAATCCTAATTGGCTAGAAATTTGAGTAGCCCAAGCTATATACGTGTATACCACCTTCTCATTTTAGTCGTCGATGGCATTACAGTGGACGGACCCTAAGTTTAACGTCGTAGCTTTAGTCGTCCTATATACAGTATACTGTATAATCCAGTTTTACGACGTGACTTATAAAATGGCTAGAGAAAGCGAACATGTAACAGCGACCGATAATTTGTATTAGAAACTTGAAAGAAATAGAATTATTCAATCCTGCGATAAAAAGTAATCAAAATATCAAGAGCCAATTGCTCAAGGTTATACTGATCTGTCTGCATGGAATTTGAGCCGAATTTAAAGTACATTTCTTCACAATTTAAAGACATAATTTTATTAAGGCAACACTACAGCTGAACATCTTTCAACCATTTTAGAGGGCTCGCCACGCCCCTGTAACAGTAGTCTTATTCACTCTTATTATATACTATATATAGAGTAGAATTTAGAGCTGTGCTGCCATAGCAACAACGACGTAAATGTTGCTAATTGAGAAGTGATTAATTTAAGACAAACTAAATTTGCACAAGCTGTTCCTGATTTTATTGGCTACTATATTTAGTTAAACTTTGCCATGCTGTCATGGCGAACATGTCGAAATCAATGCGCATGCCATTGCATTCTCCAATTCTGACGTACATGGTAAAAGCCAGTCTAATTTTTGCATTCATTATAAGCTGGCCGAGGGTATATAAGCAACGGCTAAAATGTGGAAAATTTAATACAGTGCTTGCAGCTCTGTTAAATTAAAAAGCGCAAGATAGTACAATAACATTGATTGGAACAATACATTAGACTTTAAAATCTCCTGCACATTGTGATAGTAGAATTGAAGACAGTTGCTTTAATCGGACTAAACTAGAAAGTAACCTCGCCTACAATAGTTCTAGTAGTGCACATCGGTAGATATTCAAGTGAGATAGCAGTTTGTTTTGTAACAAATTGTGTAATTTCTTTTCCACAGATATTAATTAGAGTTAAAAAAAATTCCATTTTAACTGCCATTAAATTGGGTATCAGATTGTCTAGTAGTACATTATCATCGCGAAGTGATTGATATTGAATTTGAAGTTTAGATACGTACGAGTTAGACTGCTGTCTTACTGATTGCCAATCTAACGTCGATTACTACATATCCTTCTCATCGTTGCACTATTCGAGTTCTGGCTACCGCCTTGTAATACAAGTGGAAGACTTTGTTCAATCGGTTCGATCATTCAAAGTATTACTTTACCTACTAATTAACCCTCTGATTGAAAATCTCCTGTCGTTGGTGACAACTATTTCTACAACAAATTCAGGTAAGTTTGTTGATAGCAATAATCTTTTACATGCCTAACAACAAATATATATATACCGGTAACCAGTCCTTGAAAGTTGGAAATTGTTGAAATGTGACTCAAGATAAAGTAGTTCTGTCTGTATCTTGCCAAATATCATTATATTAGAACCACTCTGCATTTTGGTATAACTAAGAAGGTCGATAAAGAAGAATTTATATTAGTCAGTGTAGTTGCTCTCATATTTTAATTACTATCGATATAGCGGTTTACATTTTACTGAATAGTTATTTCTAAAGTAATGGTTGAAACGTTAAAAGGCCTAGCAAAGTAGGATAAAAAAAATTTGAATTCAAATTAGAGTACTGTACTGCATCAACAACTTAAAATGAATACGATTATCTCCAGGTAAAAGTAATATAGAATCAATTTTATGCAGTATTACGATCTGCTAACAAGGTTAGATTATTATAGGAAGTGCTTCAAATTTTTTTACTGCTTAATTATAACGAAAAGGTTTTTAACAGCAAGGAAGAAGATTACTGTAATAATAATAATAACAGTGGCACTTCCGTATCGTTGTTATTACAACTGGCTTGGTTATTGGAACTTATTTCTCAGTTTAGTTTCAGTTATGAATGTTTTAACGACTCAATAGGCATTGCATCAGTCAACTATAATGATGTAAAGAAGTTCTGCCGTGTATGGCGTTAAACAGATTAATCCCTAGCTGATCAGTTAGTTACTCATGCATAGCTAAAGACAACGCCATCGCCCATATTTGCGCTCCAATTTATTATTAACCCAATGTACTGACTTTAACTTATAGTTGACTTCCTGGCATAGTAAATGAAATCGAGTAATACGTGCATAAAATCTTAATAATGAAATTAGAATAAATTTGATTTATGTTATCATATCGTATGCATGATCACTTATAATAATAATAATTCCTATTACTCTAGACTCTTTAATGATTGCTTCACTTCGCGAATAATTATATTTCTTTCCCTTAACGATCGTGAATTGTAATAATGGATAACACCGATCCCGTTGACAATTCTTGCGAAAAGTCTTCAAATAATCATTCCACAGTCATACAGTAGATGATAATTGAACGATAGCAACACCTTTTGGTACATGCCATTGAATTAATTATAAGATGACACAGCAACCGCATCCACCATATCTGCATATACTAAGTTCCTGCAGTATCTGTAGCTCTGGTGCAGATAGCTCTGTCTACTGATCAGCCTATCGTAATCATAATGTATCTTAAACTATTGTACTTGTACTGTACTTTGCACGCTTCTATTAATGGACTATTATACTGTAAATTCTATTTTACTCTTTAGAAAACAAGACCTATCCCAAATCATGAACAATCAATCACCCTATGGTTTTAACCCTGGCGTAGGCTCAAACTATTCTCCTTATCCTCCTTCTCATCCGCCCGCTGGTTATCCCCCTCAGACAAGTATGCCTTCTGCAAGTCCATATCCTCCACAACCGGTACAAAATCAACTTTCGTAGACTTATTATTTTACCTATCATTTATATTCATTGAGTAATATCTGAAAGTATTGGCACTGCTATAAGATAGTAGTAATCAGTTGTGACTAAAATTTGTTTTCAAACCCTTTATAAAAGCTTTATCTAAACTTGACCATTACTAAGTTATTGACACGTAAATAAAATTAGGGCTATCCACCTGCTGCACCTGCTCCAGCTCAATCACACAATGCACCCGGCTGGTTTGGTAACACTGCAGCCGCAGTAATGGCTGCCAATGCATTTCAAAGACCTACACATCAGGTTGGATTTAATACAATGCCATCTCAAAGTACTCCATATCCTTCTGCAATGCCTACACCAGGACCAGGTCCTGCTTCTGGTATGCCTCCAGCACCAATGCCTGCAGTACCACCTACAGCAGGCTATCTACCACAGCCAGGAATGCCAGTGCCAACTCCTACTCCATCCGTAGCTATGCCGGCTGCTCCACAAGGTGCGATGCCAGCAGCTCCAACAGCCATGCATGCGCCGCCAAGTCATACCTCTACACCTCACGCTTACCCAGCAAATCCTATGCCCACAGCAGCTGCACCACCTGTTTCAATGCCTGCTGCACCAGCTCCTGCTTCGGCGGCATATACTAGTACATCTGCACCACCAATGGCAAGCCAGCCACCACTTCCCCAAAGTACAAATATGCCTAGCCATCCTTCAGCACCTACTGTAGTACCTGCTCCAAGTCCAAGCGTTCCACCACCTGCAAAAGATTACCAAAGTAAAACTTCGACTTCATCACAAGTAACATCAGTTACCGCATCGATGGCTGCTACAAAAATATCCAAGGTACAAGCTCTCAGCAATTATATCACTTATGCTGTATTTTGCCAAGATGGTGATATTTAGTAGTAATATACAGTATTATCAAATTGAAGATCAGAATGGCTGAATTGACGCAAAAATAAACTCATTTATACAGGTAAACCGTGGAACAGTCAAGGATTATTCACCTTTTTCTTCTGAAACTGATGCAGAAATTTTAAAGAAAGCGATGAAGGGTTTCGGTTAGTAACTTTGTTATATTCTATCTACCTCTGCCATTTCGTTAGTTTACAGTATAATTGCATTAGCTGTGAAAGATTACCATAATTTTAATTCTATCAAAACTAAAGAATGGCAAATATTGCTTATGCATATTCAGGTTGCGATGAAAAAGCCATTATTTTTATTATGTATTCTCGAAGCCATCAACAACGACAACAAATCGTTCGCGATTTTAAGACATTATTTGGCAAAGATCTTATAAAATGTTTAAAAAATGAATTAAGTGGAAAGGTTCAAGATACAGTATTGGCATTACTAAAAGAACCTGCTGAAGTTGATGCACATGAATTACGCAAAGCAATGAAAGGCTTGGGAACAACAGAAAGTACACTAGTTGAAATAATTTGTAGCAGAAATAATCAAGAACTCTCAGATATCAAGGCTGCATTTAAGAACGGTATTGTAGTATTGCTAACTTCCTTATCAAAGCTATAGCATTAATTTTCTAATATCTGTACTAACAGTGGGCTATCAATAGAGATTTTATCAGTTTTAAAAGCGGATAGTGTGCGCAATATCACTGCTAAAATAGCCTGCAATTTCAGTGCTGTCGTACTATTAGATATCAATGCATTAACTAAGTTATTCCATCAAAGCAACTGATATGCACCTTTATTATTATTTTAGAATATGACCGTGATTTGGAGAAAGACGTCTACAGTGAAACTTCCGGTCACTTCCGAAACTTTCTAGCGTCGTTGCTGCATGTAAGAAATATATAGCCATATGGACATCATAATATTACTTGAATTTTATTTAAAGAATTCTATGCTCATATTTAAACGTTGATTTATGCATATTTTTGACAGGGAAATCGATCTGATGATCAAACAGTTGATGTGCAACAGTCAGCTAAGGAAGCTAAGGTAACTAAAACGCAATGATACTTATAATCTAACTTTTGTTTAACCTTCAACTATAATCATAAGTTAATAAGCATATTTGATGCACCTGATTGTTTAGGCACTATATAAAGCTGGCGAAGCGCGTTGGGGAACTGACGAATCAAAGTAAGCTATCAATATTATTGATTTGTTTCTTCTTAACAATGTTGATTATGCTAGCAATCAGAAAATTAATTTCTAGTAATTTGTGAACTAATCGTTCAAACCTATTCTTATTTATTTACCGTAACAGATTCAAAACCCTTTTAGCAGCACGTAGTTATCCGCAGTTACGGTCAATTTTTCAAGAATATTCTAAGGTAATCCATTCCTTAAACGTTGTTATTCATTCAAATTTATTTTATCAATTTAACTTAAATAGCATGTTTTTGACTCATTCAGATATGTAAATATACAATTGAAGAATCCATTAAGAGAGAAATGTCGGGTGATCTTATGAAATGTATGCTGGCAATTAGTAAGTATTTCTGCACCGTATTAAAATTTCAATTTTCTGCTCTTGTGCTTCACACACTAATGAAGTTTATTTCTCAAAATATTTCTTTAGTTTCTTGTGCTCAATCTACTCCTATGTACCTTGCTCAACGATTGCACAAAGCCTTAACGGTAAATCAATGATACACAAAATTATGGAAATTGATTTTATTAAATTAGTTAAGACTCTACATCCTATATATAAATTTCAATACTCAATTTCTACTTATTTAAATTTACAGGGAAGTCTTGACAGTAGTGCCGTTATTCGTATCGTGGTTACTCGATCAGAAGTTGATATGGAAGATATAAAGGCAGAATTCTTAAAATTATATGGAAAAAGAGTAGAAGATGTAGTTGAGGTATATCAACTTTGCCGTGATTAATCATAAACTACTGTTATTTCAAATGGAACTTTATAGTACCTCCATCGTTTTATATTTAATTATATTTTTCACTTTTTCACAGGATAAACTATCCGGCAGCTTCAAAAGGATCATACTAGGTCTTTTGGGTGCTAGAGAATAGACAGTAGTTATGTTTAGATAAATCGTGTATGAGTGTTGTAGCATCTAATTCTAACAAGAATAGTGCTTAATAATAGATTAAGCTAATTTATGTATCATGATCATTTATAATAGTTCGTTTGAAAATGTGAGAAGATTTATTAAATTCATTATGTTACCGAAATATCCCTTTGATAATATACAATAATACTGCGAACGCAAATTCACAAATATATTTGGTAGCTGCGACTTTATCTATTACTGTAGATAGATACTTCATACTTTTTCGTATCTAAATGAAGGCATCTGTACGGATATTTCTTATGTATGCTCTATGATTGCATGCCTCTTGTTAAAGCTGTTCTGCTTATCATGTTTTGGTGTCCAATAAACTAAATTCCATCCATAGTTAATAACTGTCAATACTAATAACAACAAAATTATATGTAGTAACAACATGCGCGCTAAAAGATGGATTATTGCTACTTGAAGCCAATATATATATAGATTGTTCTCGGTCCAATGAAAGCAATCGTAAAAGTTTATAGAGGTGACATTTAACATTTAATGAAATTTTAGTCAATCCATAATATCTCCTTAAATTAATCCGTAGTAATTTAATTCATAGATTTGCACAAGCCGCAATTATCTGCAATAATACCATATAATGAGATTGAATTAGAATCACTGAGTCATTCATCAAAGAATTACACCGCAATTAATTTCATTTGTTTAGATTTCTTAGGTGTATTGATTAAATAGTAATAGTTAATATGTAGAAGGCATGGCTATCTTATATTTCATACATTGATTTTAATCATACCACTTTTATCAGCATAATACTAATAATTTATCTTACATGAACTATGTAAATAGTTAACGTCAGAGTAGCATTATCAAGGTAATTGCAATAATCAGATAATGTAAGAGTATACGATAAATTAGATTTATCAAAATTCTTAAATTTTGAATAGAGAAAACTGCCTGTGAAAGAGCGACTAACTACAGTACAGTGCAGTATATTGTTAGGGTTTTAAAGGCAGCCATCAATGGCAACTGCAATTTTTACATCGTAAAATATAATAAACTGGTGTATTTTTATTAGTAATTATCGTAATAATTAAGTTAGCAGTAAGCCAATTAGTACTGTACTAATACTTAACAGAATTCTCGAAAGTTTTCCTTCAGTTCATACCGATAACTATAACATAACTGAATTAAGCCGATATATTTTTGTTGTCTACAAGTACTGAATCTTACTCGCCTCAAGATTTGTAATGAAGAACGCTAACCCTAGGCCTCACTAACCTAAAGCGGCATGTAAAGCGTTTTAGAAACTCTTTACGTAAGCGCTGATTAAAAATGAGATAAAATATTGGATTTAAACCAAACAGCATTGCTAAACATATTATAGCAATGGAGAAAAAAGTGCCTAGAGAAACAGATGAATTATTATTAGTTTCACTTCTATATTGACTCAATTGCGACGAGATAATAGAGCAATTGTTGCATTGTTGATGATCATACGACATTGCTGATCTATAATAATTGCGAACAGATTGCCATATCAGGGCAGTTGAAAATGGAAATATACACAAAATATAAACGAGCGCTATAACGATTAGTAGCCGAACACCAGTTCTTGATTTACGATCATAGTCACTCTCAAGTCCAGAATTGACTTGACTTCGTGAACTTGTCATATGTGAACGTAATTGCATACCACGACAAAGTTTAAAAATTACAAAAGAATAACATAAACAAATAACTACAATCGGTAATAATAAGCCTATTAGAGCATAAGTTATACTATAAATAATAACCAATCGGCTTGGCTCGGCGTTATTGAACGCACATACACGACTCTTAAATGTCTTAAAATACGTTTTAACTGTTAATAGAGAGTAGGGTATACAAAGCGAAATTGCAACTAACCAAATGCCAATGGTGATTTTCATTAATCGTTTAATATCGATTAGACAACGATGATTAGTGCGTACTGCTTGGTAATGTTGAATGCTAATCATCATTAATATATAAATACCGGCAGTAACTGATGTAAATACTATTCCTGTTAAAATTTCACACAAAGGGAAATAGAAATCATTTAAATTTTGTATCAGATTGCTGCCATTAGGGCGAAAGGTAGCAAGAGAATGGTTATCGTTGAAATTAAATCCAGGTTTGGCTTGCGTTGATGCAGCAAATGATGCCGATAATGGTGATGTTAAATTGATCAAAATAATCTGATTAGTAATTTCCAAGCATAAAGCCGCAAAACTAAAGATAATACTTGTCGATGAGAAGTTACTAATTTGAAGACAAGATGATACATGCAGTTGCTTACGTAGTAGAACGATCATGATTATTAAAGAATTAGCAATCAAACCCCATACGTAAACCATGATTGTAACCCAGGCAATAATGTTATAAGATTGAAAGGTATTTGTTGAAGTATTTTGATTTTTACTAAGAGATAGATAGTCCTTTTCGTCTCTGTCATAATTCTTATAGTGACTAGCTTCCGTATATAAATGTGAGTATAATGGTGTATTGGGTGAATATATAGGATTAGCCATCTTGTAGCTATTGACTGGTAAAATTAAACCTCGTTTAAGGATACCCTATATAGAACAAGTAAAATAAGGTATATAATCAGTTTATAGACGTAAAAGATATTATGATTGCAGTTAGATTTAATTAAGCTTTTTAAAATAACAAAATAAATAAATATATTAAATTATTTCCGTACTATGTTACAGATACAATAAATAAAATGTTGAGAACCGCCTTAGTCTGATTTATCATATTATTATGGATCCAAAGCATACTGTGGTATTGCTACTTATGAAGATACGCGTATATAATTCAAATTAAATAGTAAGAAAAAGTCAGCATAAACGAGACTTAAATAAAATGTAAATTTATCATGACTTATTGTTCTATTCAGCTCATTCCAACGCAATAAGCAATAAGAGATATCTCTTAAAATCATTTTTCTCGTACGATGGTTCATATCGATACGAGTATATTAATATAATGGATATACCGGTCAATAAATGTAGAACAAGAGGCGTCGCTGAGGAACTAATTTCGAAATTTTACTTTGATATCTTTCGTACTTCTACTCTAGAATGTCAATAATTATATAATAAAGATATTCATACTGTTTTAAGAAGCAAAGGAAGCGGCTATTAATTTTCAATAATAGCGTTCAAATTAGAACCTAATTTCGACATTATAAAAACAAAGTAATACCGACTTATACGTATACCTTAGTCAGCAATATGGGGCTATTTATACCTTAACATACTCGTAAATCTCTATCAAGTTAAAATGAGAACGTGATATATCGTCGTTGCATTTAACTACTCAGGAATATATCACCGCTTTCAATGAGTTAGCCACAAACAACTGTAGTAAAATATGCGTAATTAGGCTTTTTTTTAAATCCATTTACGAAGTTGATATCTCATAGAAATTCCATTAAGATTACCGTAGAAGTAATCTAGACTCTCTCTATAAAAATAATGTAATTTAGAGGAATAAATTGGATTTCGAATAGGTTCTGCATGCTAATATTTTGAATGCGCTGGCATCAAATCATTGAATAATTTAGTACAATTGTACCTTTGCATGGGATCACACGTAAAATAGCATCCAAAATTTATTAAAGCCGACTTATCTTAAAGTAAATTAAATTTTTGGAATTTCTCATAATCTTTCGTCAAATTACTGACTACTTGTCACAAACCAGCTTCGTGACAAGGATAACGTAGAACAAATCTCTAAATTACTAGTCTCCGGGATTCAGTATCCCTTAACTACCTCACAAGAATTTAGACGCCTTTAATTCTACGTTAAACTTAACTAGACAATTGAGAACTACCTTATTCAACTATCTGACGGGCTTATATACCCTTCTACAGCAGCTAACATTCACGAGTTATCTTATAAAAATACTTAGGTGAGAACATCTACTGACTAATTTTTCACAGTCGGACTACAATATGTCCATTCACAGAATCATTTCAGTGCACATTACAGCACAGCATTAAATTTACTGTAACACATTTATAATTAGAGTAATTCCTTTTGTAAGTAACTAGTTGTAATATATTATCACTATATTATATTCACCAAATTTAGATAGCTATTTCTTCACGGTAGTTCGTACCGTGACACTACTGCAGTTGGCTGAAGATCTTGCGACGAAAGATAGTCCCTATTTACTAGATTACTGATAGCATATACTCTAGATTAGTTCTAGAGTTTGAAATATCGGTGGAGTGGTATTATTGCAGTAGTGCTAGTTGACAGATTATATTTTCCTATTGTGTTATTCTCTACAATTCGTGTACTGTAACAAGCATTATTAGGCTTATGTGATATTTTTAGATAGTATTTACTTTATTACTATCTTCAACTCATTTTCTATCTGATTATGGCATCTCCCTTTTTCTGCATTGTCATCATATAGCTTTATAACTATCGCACTAATTCTGTAGTTATCTATCAAAAGTGATATTAAATTTCAGACTGTAGCAAAATTATGACTTTTAAAGTAGCTAGACATAATTTATCATGCAGGCTAATGTTTATCCTTTCCCGTGGTATAGATTAATGCATTCGAACTATTTTCTGATCATTTTTTAATTTAATTCTCTCATTAATAAACGAAGAAGGAATGGATTTGAAGATATAGTTATGGTACATTGACTTATATAGTATAAAAGTTTCGATTTTAAAAGTTTCACTTTTGATAATTATGAAAAATTGGCTTGAGTAAAATCAAAATATTTTATATTACTTAAGGAGTTGGATGCAGTATCTGTAACAGAGGTTTTAAGGATAATGGTATCAATGGTCAATGAAGAAATAAAAATTTACACGAGTAATGCTATAATTCTATTTTAATATGCTCAAATCAACTCGTTAAAGAAAATAGTAAGGTAGATAAAATTTAGTTCAGAAACTCAATCTAAACACTACTAAACCCAATGGATTAAAGATATAAGAAAAAAGTGACATGCTGTATTATCAAATCTAAGCGTTGCATTTTTTTAATTTAATCGCACTTGAAAATATAATATATTGAGAATTCACTGTAATCTTAGCCGATTTTATGCAATTATTACCAAAAAAGAACTGAGGGTTAAACAGAACATAGATGTGTTTTACAGTTTCGTGGTTCATCTCTTTCATTCAGTTTTCCAGCGAATAAAAATTGTTTTTTAATAGATATTAAAGTAAATAATGCAATTGAAACTATTCAATCAAACTAGGAGAATTGAAATTTCTTCGGCTGAAACGGACATAAATTAAAGTCCACATGAGTAAATATTTATATGCACGCTATTCTCAACATACATTTCGCAGTTTATCTTGTAGGAGTCTCTCTCATTTCTCAATGCAATACTAACACTTCTTTTATTTAAGTGCTTAAATCGCAATTTTATCTAAACTACAATTTAATTTTAACATAACCATATGAACATCACGTAGATCGATATCAATGCCGTAACATTTAAATAATCCTTTTTAACTGCAGTAATCGTATACTTCATATAGTATATAATAATAGGCGAGAAGCATTGTTAAAGCAGGATTTTAAAACTTGACTGCCTTTAACAACAGAAAGTAAGACAAAAATTTCAGGCTAATAAAAAAGGAATACGATGTAATGAATACTCTGCCTTACCTTAGATGCCTATTTGCGGATAAAGCTAAATAGGT